TATATATATATAAATATATATACATATATATATATATATATATATACGCGACGATACAGTTTTGGCCCGTACTCGCGGTATAACAAATTGAACATTGATGCAAACTTTTGTGATGACCCTTTAAAATCCACAATAAAAGGGTATAATTCGCAAAAATTCGCATATAATGGACACTTCCCTTTCACCCAAGCTTTATTTTCATAAGAATAAGCTTAGGTACAAACGTATATGTATATGTATATGTATATGTATAACTCTATGCGTGTATATATATATATATATATTTATGTACGTATGTATATATACACACACATACGCGCATACACGCACGCGCACGCGCACACCTACGTATATACATATACATATAGCATATAGTCAGGAAGGATTTCGTTATTTATCAGTCTCTATCTTGGAGCCTGGGCAGATATTAACTGTCTCGATTAGGATGCTTGGCAAGAAATCTTCGAGGCCAAGGCAAAGGCCAATTGTATTGTCGTGGCACTGTACCACCCACGTTTTTCTCAAAATATTTGAATATAGGATACCACCAGAGTCGGGCCAGAAAATTATTTGGTCCATTTTGCTGTGTAAAAGGAAAAAAAAAACAGTAGAGAAAATAATAATTAAAAAGCTTTTAGACAAATGTAGACAGTTTATGATAATAAATCAAATGATTAATTAATTAACGTACCTTCAAATAAGGATTATTTGCTAACGTATGGTATATGTACCATAAACGTGTAGTTAAATAATATGCTATAAGGACATCCACCGTATAATGTCCATGAGCTACCAATACCATAATTATACCAACAAAAACCGTAAGACCACCCAACCAATGAATCGGTTGACATCTTCTAGGGGAATCTGTAAAGAAAAAAAAATATACTTACGTTAGAATTAACTATTATCATTGAATATTCTACGAAAGTATTGTCATTATAAAATAATTTGATTACCCGAGGAATAAAAAAAAAAAAAAAAAGAAAAAAAAATAGATATTATCTTGTTATCAAAACCGATATCGTAGAAAACGGATATAAGTTTTACGATAAGTTCTAATAATATTAATAATTTTTTTTAATTACATACACTCTTTAATAATCAGGTAACTAAGTACAAGTACAACCGTGTGACCGCTGTAAATGTAATCTCCGCAATAAGTGTGTTTGCCATTAATCGACAAACCAAAACCAGAGATAAGCTGTAGTACTCTTTTCGTAACCAGAAGAGGACTTGTGTTATTTGCCTTTGGACTACAGAAATATGTTTTACTTGCGACCGGCAAAACTGTCACATACATCGTAATACTCCTCATCATATACAGCAGACCCATCAAAAGGAATATCCGTCTGATGACGATAAATCTATATATATATATATATATAAAAAGCCATCATAATTAATAAATTTGTTCATCGATAATGTATAAATTCTTATGTTAAACATTAAAACTTACCTATGTTTGTGAAAAATAATGAAAACCATTGCCGAGTTGGACATTATCATAATGAGAACTTCCGAAACATTAAGTGTCCAATCTTGGGCAGTAATATTATCCAGTACAATGTCTGGTAACGGGCCATAAGTATTCCGATCTGGAACACGTTCGTGAACCATCGCGAGTGAGGCCGTGGTTAATATGAAGTTCACGACCATGAACAGGAAAGCTATGAGAAGAAGAAAATTGAAAAATGAAGAATAATCGCAGATAATTTAGAGTAATATGAACTGACGAAACTGAGAAAATAATAGAAGTAAAGTGACCTAATAATGAGCGTGACTTTAAAAAATGAAGACTTAATAAATTTAATGTAAAACATATTTTTTATTTCTTTTGCAGTTTATTATTTTTATTCGAGTTTAGTCTAATTAATTAAATTCTCGATATTAATGCATAGCTCTGTGACAATGTTTTAATATAAAGTAAATAATTACTTTATAAATAATCAATCGTTTTAATTTTCTCAAAAGAGATTCTCTCTCTCTCTCTCTCTCTCTCTCTCTCTCTCTCTCTCTCTCTCTCTCTCTCTCTCTCTCTCTCTCTCTCTCTCTCTTTCTTTCTTTCTTTCTTTCTTTAATGATAACGAGATAATTCTTTTGATCTTGAATCAAGTAATTACCGAGAAAAGTTTTCCATTTTTCTTTGGGAAATCGTGGTTCCTCGCGAAGCGGCGCCGGTATGTCAATTTTAATGACGCCGCTTCCTGGTCCATTCGTTATTCCTGGATGACGTCCAAGACCCTCGATTTTCTCCTCCTCGTCGTCTTCGTAATAATCCGAACCGGAAGCCACCCCGGACCACTTGTCCTTGCTCTTAGTTGGTGCACCAGGTAAGAGAGGTTGCCTTTGATAAATATCACTCGATTGTGCCATCCCGCTGCTACTCCCATCAACCGCCGCCTCCACGTCCCTCTCGTGACCCTCCCCACCTCCCAATGGTCGATCGAAACTTCCGTAATCGCTATGTAGACTTGTGACCTTGGGGTCCAATACCATC